TACTGTATAAGTAGTACTGTGTAATGAACTCAAACCATTGTGTATTTAACTTGAATCATTGTGTACTTAACTTGAATTTTGCCACAATAGGCTCTGTTCTTAACTATGAGTCATCTGTAAACTGGGCATTCTTAACCCGGGGACTACCTGTACATAAATGAGTATCTGTGTGAGAAACAATCATATGATATGATAAACATATTAATGTAGAAATATATTGGAAAGTGCATAAAAAGAGGTATTCTTTTAACTACTCTGTGTGCAAATATGTATATATACTGTTGAAATTTTATCATATCACATGGATGAGGAGAATTCAGCATGTTTTGATTATTTTTTAATGAGCCTGCAAGGCAGCCTTTCTCAGCCTGTGCACCTTAGATGGCTTGTGCTACAGCTGCCACAATTGTGACATATCTAGAAGATATTATGTTGAGAAAAGCTGCCATAGACAGTTCTGAATGAAGTTTGTTGGTTTGTTTATAATTTATATGCTGCTCATATCCCTCAAAGGGTGACTCTGGGTGGCTCACAATTAAAATCAAACATCAAAACAGTAAAAACTTGGTAAACTTGTCTTGTTTGTTTGAGAAGATCATAAACTTCAGAATGTCTTTCATTATTTTCAATAGCTCTAATCTGCTTTTCTAAAAAAAATAAATAAATAAGTTGCTCAATATGGTTAATAGATAAGCATTTGTTACCTCCACCCCACCCCACCCAAAAGAAAAGAAATATAGGCAATCCAAAGCTTTTGAAAGAGAAAGCTTTTGGGAAAACTCTTATTACAAATGACACTGTCTCTTTTTGTCTATACTGATCCATTCCTGAACTAGAATGAATATTTCCTTAACCAATGGGAAATATCAAAAACCAATCCAAAAGGGAGCATTGAATGAAATATACTTGCTTGAAATATCAAAGCAAAGTGTTGTGCTTAACTTGTCAGAGGATTTCAAAAGTACATGTTTACATTGTTTTAGAGTGCAGTCATTCTGCTATTTCCATAGAATTATTTTTGAAGTTTATATTTTGCTGAGTATACAGTATATAAAATTGCCTCCTTACATGCTTTTTTACTGAACTGCAATTGATACAATCAGAGATGACTTTTTGGTATCTTTATATTTTCAATACTCTACACCAGTGTTTCTTAGCCTTAGCAGGTATGGCTGGTATAGTTGGCTGAGCAGAAGTGCACACATCTTAAAGTTGCCAAGGTTGAGAAACACAGGTCTACACATTTCTGAACACCTCATGTCAAAAATACAGATCAGACTAACTAATGTGGTAGAGATATGGAAACATCTCCCTTTCAGAAACCAGTCGTGATTTTTTACATTAAAGTCAATATATTACTATTTTATTTTCCACATTGATATGTCCCATTCACTCTCTAGTAAGTATTTTGAGTGAACAAAAGTAACATGTAAGATGGACACATGTCTGGTCATAGTAATTTCTGAGATTGCTGTTCCATATAACTGCAGCCATAGAGGTTGCTGTATAAAAAAGATCAGAAGTATATATTGGGGGATAGAGGGGGAGCCATATTGAATTCTTAGCTATAAGGAAGCAGAATGTCAGATAAAATGTCTTGACAAACATTTTTATTTCACATAGACAATACTGACAGTCATTTAAGAATAATTTTTGTATAAGGAACTCTTCCCCTTCTTGGCATCCTCTAGATATGATTTTCTTACCCCTTGTGGTTACCTTGTGGTTCTGCTGGGTGTGGATGATGGAGTCCCTGGTCCAAAATATCTGGAAGGGGCAAGACTGGGGAAAGCTGGTATAACTTCCAATTTTATCATTGGCTTGCTTGAACTTCTTATATTCCACTGTCACTTATGGCGAGCATCGGTTGCTTTGAATATGGCATGAATAGCCTTTGGTATTTTATGGAATAATATTTGTTTAAGATTACTCCTGCTTCTGTGCAAGGGGAGCAACTGACCTGTACAAAATATCAAAATCTCCTGCTTTCTTTTGGTGTCATATTATAATGTCAAGCAAAACTATTTTATTTTCTGAAAGTGAAAAGATAGCAAGCAGCTACTGACATTCTGAAAAATATGCCATATTTGATGGCAGGTTTGAGGTAGCACTTAGCAGACTAAAGTAAATCCTTGTAGATTCACATCTATGATTAAGGTCCTGGTCTCTGAGTTCAAACAAAATTTTTATTGTAAATAATGTTTCTTTCTCCAGTATATGTCCCCTGTAGGCACAAGCCTTTCTTCTGAAGTCAGAACATTTTCTATCTTGTTACTGTATGTAGTTTATTGATTCAGCTGAACAATGGGGAATTGTACTATTAACTCTGTTATTGCTGGCAGAATTTTATTATAATCAAAGAAGCCTGTGTTGAAATGCGCTTTTCACCCGGACATTAACTGTATGATACACAATCTCTCCCTACTTCCATGGAGGCCTGGGTAGGAACAAGAAAGTTTTAACAATGCATGTTGCACGAAAGAAAAAGTATGTGACACCTTTCTAATAGCCAGTGTAATAGGATTATATAAATGCATATTTACTAGATACATACAGTATAATTTTATAAGTTTTATTTTTTTCTCTCTTTCTCTCAGGTATATGTAATTGTCTTTTTGTTACATTCCCATTTTAATCTTTTAAAAATATTTTTAAAATTTGAATAATTGTAGTTGTCAGGACCATGTTCAAGCTATGTATCCTAAAATGCTATCTGTAATCTCTGAAAATGATTCCTGAGATCCACCATAATAGCAGAAAAATTGAGCTGAAAATAGGGCAGCCTGGGTCCTGATCTTGAGCCAGGGTGTTGGTTTTAGGCAGCGATTGATAAGTAAAAGGCAAGAATGGAAAACCATGGACTTAATTCTCCCATTCTGGCCAATCCAAAGAGTCTCTGTTTGCAAATAGCAGGCTTGCATTATCTTTGAGGTCAGGCAAGAGTCTGCAAGGTAAGAAGGAATCTTACCATGATGACGAGAGTGAACAAATTTGTGTCAATCCATGAGAAATACTGTCTACTTGGGAACAATGCCACCAAATATAAATGGTTTTAATTTCACCACTTTCAATGGGAGTGTAAACCCACCTGCTTCATTCTCCCATTAAAATAAATGGGGCATAATAGTGACTTTCCTTTGGCTGGAACCTGCTAAAATATTTATGAATTATTACAATTGATGCCAAAGTTGTCTGTCTGTCTGTCTATCTATATTTATATTTGTAACCTATAAATATTTTATTGAACAAAAGTCCGTAGAAAATATTCTAAGCTAAGCTGAGTAACAAGTTCTCCTGAAGTGTCCCTTTTCTGGATGCAAAGAGTGGATCACTCTGTAAGAGTGCACAAGATGCTGCAATCCTGGAATCGGGAGTTCTGCTGAATAGCTTCATTATGCTATATGCAGTGTGTACAGTTTTATCTGCATTTTTTTTTGTAATACTAAGTGAAAGGTTAGTATTAAAGTGATTTCATTGGTTTCACAATATGTAGTGTAGGAACTTTTATTTTTCCCCCCTCCCACCAGCAATCCCAACAGAATTCCCCACCACTGCCACCACCACATGGCAATTAGGCTTTAAAAAACAAGAAAGAAAAGAAAGCCTTCCATAATCCATTCTTACAGAATACAGAGTTGCAACGATCTCATTTAAGTTCACTGGGAAGAAAGGCCCATGGAGTTGTGCACTGCTTACTTGCAGGAAAGTGCTCTTAAGATTACAGCTCAAATCTGAACGTGTAATTATTTCCTACACCAAAGCCAGTGGTCAGATTGATATACAGTGATGAAAGAAACTCTCATCAGCTACATTGTTCCATTTTAATTCTCACTGTGTTATTATTTAAATAAAAGCAGTAGTCCTGAAAGTTTTTTGTATGAAAGGAAAAGTTGGCATACA